GACTCGGGTCGGGCCAACCGGCCCGGACCGGTACTGTTTGTATCCGGCCCGGCCCTGGAACCGGTCTGGGTGCCGGTTCGGGCCAACCGACCAGGTCAATTAGCGGTGCGGGCTCGGGCCTTACAAATGATGAACCGGCCCATAACGGCCACTTTTTTTTTAATATTTAAAACCCTCCTAGCCGTTGGGACTATTCCCAAACGGCTCTATAGCCGTTGGAGGCCTAGGAGGGGGGGGGGGGGGTCCGGGGGGTTTTGGGGGGGGGGGGGGGGATACAAAAAAACCTATTTATACTCCTATTTCCTATACATTTTTACACCTCTTCTCCTACAACTCTTTCTACTCTCTAATTCTCTATTATCTCATATTCAATCATCTTCATCTTCTTCAATTCTCTCTACATATATATTATTTATATAATTATTATATAGGTTAATATAAGCGTATTACTCATCTTATAGTAATATACTTATTTATTATATACTATAAACATTATATTATATATTACTTATAATATATTTACACATTATATATACTATATATACTTATACACATTCATATTTACTTGATGTTTAGTTATTATCTATACTATTGTTATTTACTTATATTTACATATTACATTTAGTTAATATATACTTATATATAATAAAGTATTAAGTATAAGTGTATTACTCATCTTATAATAATATACTTATATATTATATACTATAAACATTATATTATATATTACTTATAATATATTTACACATTATATATACTATATATACTTATACACATTCATATTTACTTGATGTTTAGTTATTATCTATACTATTGTTATTTACTTATATTTACATATTACATTTAGTTAATATATACTTATGTATATTAAAGTATTAAGTATAAGTGTATTACTCATCTTATAGTAATATACTTATATATTATATACTATAAACATTATATTATATATTACTTATAATATATTTACACATTATACATACTATATATACTTATACACATTCATACATTTTATAAAACTAGTTAGTTGTTACACTTCTCATTTTCGTATTAAATTAGTTAATTGTTACATTTCTCTACATTTCTCTTTAAAGAAAAAAAAAATAGTTACTTGTTACATTTCTCATATTAATATTAGTTAATTTTTCTACATTTATCTTTAAACAATAAAAAGTAGTTAATTGTTAATTGGTACATTTCTCATTAAAGTAAAAAAACTAGTTAATTGTTACATTTATCTACATTTCTCTTTAAAGAAAAAAACTAGTTAATTGTTACATTTCTCATATTAATATTAGTTAATTGGTACATTTCTCATTAAAGTAAAAAAAACTAGTTAATTATTACATTTCTCTACATTTTTCTTTAAAGTAAAAAAAACTAGTTAATTGTTACATTTCTCTACATTTCTCTTTAAAGAAAAAAACTAGTTAATTGTTACATTTCTCATATTAATATTAGTAATTGGTACATTTGTCATTAAAGTATTAATTAGAAGTAGTTCGAATTTTTTTTTCAAGGAAAAAAATTGTTACATTTGATATACTCATATTTTAGTTCGAATTTGCTATAATTTTCTTAGTCACATTTTATTATCATTATTGTACTCATAAAATATTTGATATCATTTAATATTTGTTCAATTTTAAAGATGAATTGTGGTAGACATTCTGTAGATATGGGTAATATCCAATGCAACCGGAAGAGGGAGATTGCAACGACTCATCCTAGTTCACGCAAAGGCAAAGGTAAAGCGCGGGCCGGGTCTTCTTTTCCAAGTCGAGATGATTTTGAAAAGGATTACCAACGGAGAGATGATATGGCGATGTCCGACGACCAACTACATAACCTATTGTCCCAAAATGATCCACGCTTTGCACAAGAACAACAATTCCTGACAACCATTGACGAAGAAGAGCTCGAGAATGAGGATGCGGAGGAGGGGGGGCGACGGCAGTCACGGCACCCCGGATGATGAGCAAGAGTTGGAGGACGAGGGCGGTTCATCCCAAATTGGTAAGAAATCTAAATCTCCTATTATTGAAAACAATTTTACAAAAAGGAAAGACAAAAAAACGAGCAAGTTGCAATCATTGCAACAAAGAGTATAGCTTGGGAACTTCTGGCGGATACGGGAGTCTGAAAAGGCATCTTAAGTCCGTGCACTTAGTGGAGTATTCGAAAATAGACAAAGGCAAGGTGAAGCAAACACAAATGTCGAGGTTTGCAAATTCTCAACCCTTTGGTAATTTCTCCTATGATGATAAAAAACATTTGACTGGTATGTCTCATTTAATTGTTGAAGAAAATTTGCCTTATATTTTTTCCCAAAGTCTTGCTTTAAGAGATTATGCTCAAGGTACTTTAGATCCTCAATTTAGAAATTATAGTCGCAAAACGATTAAAAAAGAAGTTATAAGGCAATATAACTTGGAAAAAGAAAAATTACAAACATTTTTCGCAAACTTTGATGGACGTGTTAGTATTTGTAGCGATATATGGGATGATACTTATCATCATTTATATTATTTGGGTCTTACTGCACATTATATTGATGATGATTGAAATATGCATAAACGAGTTCTTGCTTTTCGTGAATTTAATGATCGACACACTGCTAATAATATTTATCTTCTCATTGAACGTATTTTAATTGAGTATAATTTGATTGATAAGGTATTAGTTGTAGGTTTCGATAATGCTAGTAATAATACTGCTGCTATACCTAGATTGTGTGAATTATGTGGTGCTTCTACATTGATGGATAGGTTTTTTCATCAACATTGTGCATGTCATATTCTAAATTTGTGTGTACAAGATGGGCTAGCGGCATTAGGAAATGCTTTGGAGGTAGTGAAGGAGAGAATTAAATTGATTTGGGCTAATACTCCACTAAAAATGCAATGACGGCAATATTTGAAGGATAGACGTGTCAATTCTTTTGCTTTTCCTAAAGATTTGTCTATTCGTTGGAATAGTACTTATAACTTAATTAAAGTACTTATTAGATATAAAGATCATTTTCCTGCTTTTTTAAGACAATCTTGTAACTATATTATAAACGCGGCTGACACCGCCACTTGTGAAAAAATTGTGAATGTTTTGGTATATTTTTAATAATGCAACTCAAATTTTTAATCATGTTTATAAACCTACCGCAAACGAATGTTTTGTTGAAACTGTTAATCTCGCCGGCGCTTTTTGTGAATTTGCCGATGCCGCTTACGTTAGTTATTTTTGTGATTTCATGAAACAAAAGTTTTTAAAATACTATTCACATATTCCGCATATATATGGTATTGCATTTATTCTTGATCCTCATTATAAACTTGCTTACTTGGGAAATTGTATAGATTACTATTATGCTTCTTTTTTTCCAACTCAAGAGTTCGATGATAATCTCATAGACCCTAAACACGAATTCAACGAGGTTAGTAATTTATTTCATCAATTGTATAATGAATTTTATACACAATATGGTAATGCACCCCCTACCCTACCGCGAACATCTTCTTCAGTTAAAGGAAAATCACTTTTAAAATATGCATTTGGTTCTCTTTTGAAAAAAAGTAAAGCAACTCCCGCTAATGAAAAAAGCTCAGTTACCGAGCTTTCTTTGTATCTAACATTGAATGTTGATTATGAAGTTGGGGACGACTTTGACGTTCTTAAGTGGTGGAAGGAAAATGAAAGAACGTTCCCGATTTTATCAAAGATGGCTAAGCAAGTGCTAGCAATGCCGATATCAACAGTTGCCGTGGAAAAAGAATTTAGTGCGGCCGGCAACGTCCTAACCGATTATAGAACGAGATTGAATCCGAGCTCTCTTGAGACGCTTGTTTGCTTCCACGATTGGTTGAAGGTCCAACAAAGAACTCAAGAAATGAGCATCGCTCCCACCCGCCACTGTATGGAGGAAACAACCGAAGGCGGAAATTCCGATTGATTATTTATTACAAAATTTATTACATTTATTAAATTCATCCTAATTCTCAATTATATTTCTTATTTGAAATAAATATACTTGATGTTTTTTATATTATTGTGTATTTCAATTCAAGAATCAACAAAAAAAACCGGAATCGGACCGGCCCAGTAAACCGCCGGGTGGCCCGGCCCGACCTGACCCGGAACCTATGTGGCACGGATACGGATACGCCGATACGTCGATACGCGAATACGGGTACGGCGATACGGCAATTTAAAAAATTATAGGGTACGGGTACGAGGGTAAATTTATAAATAATAAAAATATAGGGTATAATTTGCAAATATATATAATTCAGGAGTTCATAAATAAAATAATAATAATAGTACAAAAAAATAACTGCTCCGTATTATAATAAGATTTCAAAAATTAGGCTAAAGAAACTAAAGTACTGATATTTTGATTTAAATTCAAACAACATTTTTTTGTTCTCTATTTACATTTACATCTAAATCCTGTTTCAATTAAAGCTCATCAAGCGATAGAATGAAAAATTATAGTATTCCGTTATTTTCCATACTCCCGAAATCATCTTTATCAATGTTCCACATCTTGGGGTCGCTTGGATGACTACTAAATTTTCGTCATGTCGTCTATGGAATGAGGGTTACAGGGTCAAATACGCATATCGGTTCACGGATACGGGTATCGGAAGTATCGGTATTTTTAAAATTAAGCCCGATACTTTTATTAAATTACGGATACGGACCGAATACGTATAGGGCGCGTATCGGTGAGTATCGAATACGGATACGTATCGGATACGCCGTACGCGGATACGGCATCGGGGTGAAGTATCGGTGCAACATAGCCCGGAACCGCCAGCCACCCGGGCCAGTTCCGGTTCCCTTCTTCCCAAACAAAGGCCCGGCCGGGCTCAGGCCCGAACCGGAACCGGCCTGGCCCGGGTCCATCCCTAACCAGGCTGACCCAGTAGTTTGTCCGGGTCACCTCCCAAACCGGTTTTAACAACACAACTTTCAATCAATTTTTAACTTCGTGTACAGAAAACAGTTGTTGCTCCTGTAAGAAGCCAATGAGTTTGCACGTTACCATAAAAACTACCTCTAGCAAAGATAGCTAGGCACTCAAAATGCACACACGTTATTGACTTATTAAGGAGTAATAAATAAAGATTTAGTTCATCCATGTATTCCTTTTTGAGAAAAAAGAAAGAAATGCAAACATAACACATTATTATCACATCTTACTAACATGTTTACCAAACAACGAATGTCGCCCCTCGGCAATAAGCTCCCCTGTCAGTTTGTTCCTCACAAGCACACTTGTTCCAGAATACCCGCCTATTTTACCTAAGCATCTCCCTATAATCTCTAATTCATCCTGCAGTAAGCATGCCCATACAAAGTTAGTAATAGGAAAGAATAACCTAAATATAAAGATTGGCATCTAGCTTTTCCATGGACAGAAATTAGTTTGTCCACCAATGCCCCGCAACCTATTTTTATGCCCATAATATTTTCTCTCCCACACCAACCTCCCCAGAGCCATTGCTGCACCCCATAGCTGACCATGGCAGCTGCCAGCAGGATTTTCTTGAAAAAACCATCAAAACGGTCCCAAGATAGTGTCGGACAGATAAGTAAGGCAGAGGTCATGAGAAAACCACAGAAGAGTCGGAAGATTTTAGGGATGAAATAAAGTGGACTAGCAGAGATCATATGAACAAAGAGTAGGTGTATGTTTATGAGAAGTGCAGACCTGCAGAACTGAAGAAGGTGACAGCCTTTTATAGAGTGATTCCGAGTTTCGAACTATTTCAAGCAAGTGTTTGGTACGTTGACAGGTAAGCACGTGGTGCAGGGCTTCACAACTCATTGTGTTTTCTAAAACTTGCATTGTTTCCGACCATGAGAGTCGATTCTGACCATGAGCGCCATTACTTTCTCTACGCTTGTATTCAATGCAGATCGACACAGATCACCGTTTATGCAGATTACGATCTCAGCTACGATCCAGATCTAGCGAGTGAACTCACGATTTTAACAACAGTGTATGTGGGCCATGTGGCAACATCAAATCTTCTATGATTATTTCTTGAGACATAGTCCAGGATGAGTAAATTTCTCTTCTTTTTTTGATGAAATTAAGCTAGTTGACACTTTTATAACCGTCTTTTAGATTTTATTTCCTTATTTTCTTTATCTGATTGAAAGAATAATTTTAAACACAGTGCACTTTCAGATATTCAATTGGTTCATCTACCACTTCAGTCTCAATATCAACGGATTCAAGCACATGAAGTGACATGAGACAAAACTGCCTCTACCAAACAGGATCTTAGATGAGATGAGGAGGAATTGCATTAACCATGCTTCTAAATCTTAATGAAAACACTTGCTTCCAGCTTGGAGCATATAACACGCTAATTATCAAAAAGGATTTGCTGATTTGCTCCCATATCTAGGAAACTGATGATATAGGTTCAAATTCATCAGCTAAAAAAGTTGCAATAGGCTAAAAATCATAGGCATGAATAAGCGATTACAAAAATAAATGCACATAAACTTTTTCCTAGTTCTTTCTGTTCTTCAAAGAACCCCCCATAGACAAGTCTGCAACACTTTCAGAACCTCAAATAACAGAAGTATAGCTAAAATTTAACAAGGCAAAAGAGAGAGCAATGATGAGCCAAATTAAAAGCAGTAAAAGCTACGTAGTATATAACTAACTCTGAGATATATACGAGTGAAAAGGATCATTAGAACAAATGCTAAAAATGTGGGGATAAACTATATGTCGTAAGAAGCTTACATTAAATTTTGCAGTAGAAAGGTAAGAGATGGACATATCCACGGACACATTCATGGGGAGACCCTCCACGTAGACAACCGCACCTCCAACTTCATCGACTAGATTTGCAATAGCGCCCGATGCAAATACTCCATTTCTATCCTACAAAAAAAAACGGATAGCAAACGGATAGCAAATGTTTCGCCAATCGGAACTCAGAAACTGCAATAAAAACAAAAAATGGAAGCGAACAAAGTTCTTACGGTGAGACGACGAGGGACTTTGAAAGTGCAGGAGACGAAGCCGGGTTCGACTCGGTCGACTCGGATGCCTCTGATGGCGTAATGCTCGTAAAAACTAGGCTCGACGGTGACGCGGTGAGGAGGAAAGGTGAGTGAGGATAGTATTTCCGATTCTTCATTGCTGATTCCTTCGACAAACGCTTTCGCTCTATCCATTTTAGTTCTTTTCACCTTCTTGCTGTTGCTGCAGAGTACAATTTCTCAATTAGCTTAAATCTCTCAAACATTATACTCTGAATACGATACGCTCTAATCGGGAATAAACATGTGTTAACTTTCAAGGAGTTCAGATTTACTCCGTCTTTTGTCATGGTGTTAAAATAATTCCTGCCTTCTTCTCTGATAGGAGCCACCAAATTGCCACTCCCAATAGAACCTTAGACCTCAATTCAGCAAGACAGCAACCTCAGATTTGACTATTTGAGCCCGTCCTGTCTTCTCTATCCAAACCTACACGAGGAGTTTACTTTCATATTCCAAGAATCCAATCCAAATACAAATAAGCCTTGGCCAACTTTTATCTTTTTGGTAAATTATTCCAATAATCCAATCCGAAAGATAGATAAATTATTACATGAAGTGTATCGGTATATGATCTGAATGATGGAAAACTATCAATCTAGAACCTAACATTTCATAGGTTATGATTTATTTAATTTTTTACTAATTCCATTACTAATTTTTGATAAACTTTTCTTTACAAAAGTTTATTAGTTTAATAAAACTAAATAATATTTAAAATTTTTTAAATAAAAAATATTAATAAAATTTATGACAACTTAGGTCCTGGATTGATAGTTTTCAATTATTCGGGTCCTATATTGATAGTTTTTCACCATTCAGGTCCAATATCGATGCATTTCATCTTTCAGGTCTCAGATTGATAATTTGTTTGTCTTTCAGGTCTTGGATTGATAAAATTCCGTATTTATTTTTAATTAATTTTGAATTTGAAAATTACATTTTGACAATAAATGTCATTTTTATGGGATTAACTAATACTCAAATGGTAATATTTCTTGTGCTTTTCTCGTTTTATGATATATTCTCTTGTTTACATTTTGATTTTAAAACTTCATTACTTTTATCTAAAATGTCATGATATCATATCATTAGTGAAAAACGACTTTCTATATTGAGTAAAACATCTAAACAGTATGTTGAGATAATGGCCGTATCCAATATTATCGGCCTTTTACACCCAAGCTTTGGTCCAACCAAGCTTAGAAGACAGTACGACTAGCGGAAAATGATCCAAGATTATTTAATTACTTATCAGGCAATTTGGACCATTTACACAATATTAGTTTATAAATTGGCCCAAGCCCATGTAGCATTTAATTATTAGACTAATTGTAAACGCTTGTAATCAACTGTGCTGTTTTACTATATTAAATTGCTACCTTTATCTCTCTGGAGCTATTTTTTACCAACATAGTTATTGTTAAAAACTCATATAATATCAACTTGTATAAAAAGTGGATGCTTTCAGTGTTGGTGTAACTCGCATGGAAAGACTTTTTATACTCGTTACTAATGCAACAGTTATAGAAGTCGAATTTTTTTTAAAAAAAATATTTTGATTTCAATTATATATTAGGCACATAAATTTGGACTGTGCATATTTTCTACCATGCAAAATGAACAAGAAATTCTATGATGAGATAACTGGGTTACTGGGATGAGTGTTCATTTAAAATTGTATATACTTCGTATTAGCTACAATCCGTTTTGTTGTACAAAGTGACTAGAACAGCACATGAATGGATTCATGAGGCAACACCTGTCAATATGGTTCATAGATATTTGCGACACTTTGAAATGATTTTTGAGCATATTATATTTTAGTCAATTTAAATTTTGGAATTCTATTTCTCGTGTTGAACATGTACGGAGTATAATTCATAGGGATGGACTGGGATGGGTCTATCTGACCCGGCCCGATACTGGTTTGGCCTAGCCTGGCCCGGCCCGCTAGTGTATAGGCCCTGCCGGCTCACAGCCCAGCCCGGTGGCTATAAGTGCGGGCTTCGGGCTAATTTTTATGGGCCCGATTGCACTATTTTTTTAATTTATTGCCCAGTTCTGGCCCAAAGCCCGGCCCGACCCGACCCGATACGGTTTAGGCCAGGTCCGGCCCGGTCCCGGTACAAACCCGGCCTGGTACCAGGCCTGATATCCCGAGGCCCGAGCCCGGAGCCTGGCTCAGTCCCAGTCCACCCCTAATAATTCAACAACTTTAGTATTTTTTTTATAATTTATCAGCATTTTCTTTTTAAAACTGATATAAATGCATTTTGATAATTTCAAATTAGAAATACTTTATTTTTAGTCCCTGAATCAAATCAATGCAACGGCATTACATATCAGTATATCACCAAAGTAAAAACTAAAAAAGATACTGTAACAGCAAGGAAGAAGACCAAAGAATGAAAGCAGGTGCGATGCACATTTTGCGTGCCGACAAGGTCATACCCCGAGGCCCGAGCCGTGGGTAAGAAAATCAACAATAAGAGGTGTAGTAAGGGTTAAGGGTTCCCCCCAAACGTATATCACATGCTTTGCCCTTTAAGTTTTATCCCCCCAAACGTATATCACATGCTTTGCCCTTTAAGTTTTATCCCCCCAAACAGGTTTAAAGATAACCCTCATGGAGTATATACTTATACTACTCACTACCCTCCAAACAAACAGAGCAAAAGGCCTAGGCACGGTCTTTCTCTCCATGTTTTTTTTCTCAGAGGGATTTCAGCATCTCCAGCCAGTACTCCATTTCTCCACCCAAATAAAACAAACAAACAAATTTGGCTCAATAAGCTCAAATGTCTTGCCTCCATTACTCACTTCCCTTTCTGTTCGTCTACAACTTCTGCAAAGAGGCGGCACGATGAAAATTGTGTATTCAAGAACACATCTGACAGCTTGAGCAGTTAAAGCTTTGTGAAACCAAGGGAAGTGCTAAATAATTCATGCTTGAAATTTCAGAATACTGACATTTAGGTAAAACTTAGGCATTGTAAACTTGTCTATCAAAAACAGATATTCTGCAGTGCTACACTGCTACCTAACGAACGCAAAATGAATTGAAACAAATCTTAAACCAATTATAGAGCTCACCTGCCTAGCCGGCCTGAAAACATCAAATATAAAGCATTGTATTTTGCAGTCCTTGAGCATTGGGTTATGCCTATTGGCACTTGACAGTCTCACGCAGGAGCAAGCGCCAAAGTACTGTTCTAGCCTTTCCCAGCCGACTTCAATACTTTATGAGTTAATGGCTTTCGAGACTAAGTTTTCATGCTGAGTAGAAAACAGAAGGAGAGCCTTGGTGGTGCACTGGTTAAAGTCTTGGGAGCGGCCATGTCAAAAAATGAAAAGGGAAGGCTTGCCTGGAGGGACCCTTCAGCTCAATATAGTCTTTGCTCATCCAACTGTTTCCTTAAATAATCAGATGAAAAAAACAAGAAGGGTCAGTATAGAATGTCCTTTATTTAAAATGCATGGGAAAATAAGTGTTCGCTAGAAAATGCATTTCTGAACTGACCGTAAAAAAACAGATGAAAGCTTAACAATATTTTCACCAAGGAAATGCTGTGTCCCTAAAGAATGTCTAATCAGAGGCTTTGAAGTAAAATTAAGACACTGCTAATTGAATAAAGCCAAGTCACACTGTAGCAATTATACAAAAAAAAAAAAAAAAGAATAAAGCCAAGTCAGTAAGTCACTGTTTCCTGGTGAAAGGCATTTCCAAACATACTTCGTTGTAGAAAAGCAAGCCCCATCAGGGCTGGTGGGCACGTTAATCTTCCCAATCAAGACTACACTGGTGTATGTAGACAGAGCTGAATGAGGAAAGTCAGGTTCAAATGGATAGTGAATAACGGAAGAGAGGTCTGGCTTCCAAAATATCTTCTTAGGCCCTCAATTAGTTTGGCATCAATATTTATCTGTCCAAATATCCAGTTCTCATAATGTATACTAGTTACACTGCCCATGCGTTGCACCCGATGACCGGAGCATGGGAGTTGAGTATATTTCCAATAATTTAGATACAATTTTATAAAAACTACATAAACTTTAAAATTTAAGTTTTAGATAATCTCATCACTTTTGAAAATTAAAAAATTGTCATGTGACATTATCATATCTAATATTTACCACATTGAGTAATTAGTTATTTTCTTTCTTAGTTCTTTCATATACTTACATGAAATATTTCTTTGATGAGAAAAATAATGATGTTAGAACCTCCCAATGTAATAATAAATGCCCCAAATTCACCTTTGTGAATTGCACTACAACTATTTTCTTTAATAGTTTGATGTTTTTACATATTCTTTTACTTGTCTGACATGAATAAACTTTTGGTTTTGAAAATTTGTTTGGATACATTTCTTACACCATCTCTTTCTAGATCATTATTATAACAGTAATAATGATTATAAATATCAAGGTGTACTAAAGAATAGTTGGAATAAGACAAAGCCACATCCGTGCTATGCAATGATACAAAGTATGTTTAGATATTACAATCTCGCATTACAATTAAAAATTGTATTCATAACTACTCCCTCCGTCCCCATTTAAATGTCCCATTTTACCATATTGGAATGTCCCCATTTAATTGTCTCATACCTTATTTGGTAAAGTTTGTGTGGTTCAAAATCATTCTGACTTTATTCTTACTTTATCAATTAATATCAACCACACAAACCCACTTTTCTTAAAATTCGTGTCACCCTCTTCCGGGACATTTAAAAGAGGACGGAGGGAGTATATTCTAAAAAATAGAACAATAAACTGTGAATTAATGAAAAATATAAAATCCAAATTAAGTATACAAAATTAAGGAAATGTGATATTCTGTTCTCTCATTCCTCTTCAGGGTTAAATAGTACTCCGTAATATATTAGATTTTATCTTAATAAAGAGTACCAAGTTACTGTTTTCTCATCAGTCAAATAATCAAGAGCTCAAAGAAAAAGCTAACTGAGCTATAAGCCTATAACTCATAAATTAGCAAAGAATGGCACACACACTCATACACATCAAGACTCTAAGAGTGTAAGACCAATTTATCTCATAATCACCTTTTATATAGGAGTTGGAAGAAAATGCTTCTACTGTAGGAGGGATACGTAAGAATGTGGGGCAAGCTACTATTGCGTGTGAGGAATGGAGCACACAAGATAGTTCTTTGCCGCAGAAATAAGCACATGAGAGTAAGTTGATTGGGATAGCAGACTATGGATTATTACTACATCTTAACTACTTATTACCTAAGCAATGCAATCCCCTGCCTCAGATAAAGGATGTACATAAGCAATCGCCAGTATGTGATCAACAACATGAGAACCATTCCTCATATCAAATTTCTAAGCAAATGCTTCCTGGTCAACGTGAAGATACCAAGTTAATATGTGAATGCTGGAAGAAAACGTTGCAGCAAATCTACTATAGGAGTGAAACTTAGGTGATGATCTATAAATAGATCATAAGATAAAGACCATACCAACACAATTTTTAACAAAGTAAAGAAACTGAGTTAATCATCAATAGTCTATCTTCAATCAAATAATCAAGAGTAAGACTTCACTCAAGTTTTACAAATAGTGCAATGGAAGTGAAACTTACCAATGTTTGAAAGATATCTTGATAGAGTTTTATGAACAATGACCCTTCCTTCTTCACTTCTTCTGAAACAAAGACAACAGCAAGAAATAGAGTTCTCAGTTTCCAAATGAAAATTTGTTTTTAAAGTTACATAAAACTAATTTAGCAACAGAGTTATAGAGAATGTACCCCCAAGCTCAATAAAAGAGGAGGGATTAAAAGATCAAACGACATTTAATGGAAGTGAGATATAATACATATAACTTTCAATGCAGACTTAGCTAGCTATTAATCATCAATATCTTTGTAACTGTTTGAAGTATAAAAGGAATCTCAAGTAAAAGATGTTAAAAATGAAATTACTTTAAAAATACATTGGTTCGAAATCTATTCTAGAAAGAAATGCTTTTACTAATGTTGGGATAAAGTTTTCTACATAGTTAAACTAATAGTAAAAAAAATCAATAAAATGTTTAATAACATCCAAAAATAGCCAAACTAAAATAGGTTCTTTGAGAAATAAGTTAAATGTATAAAGACATTACTAAATATGAATTATAAATAATACTGAACACTAATCTGCCATACTTTGTACAGAAGCTTATAAAGACTTTAGTATTAACAGTTGACAGTCAAATTTTTAGAATGTAGCAAGGGTACATTCTTTTGCCATGACATTTACAACTTTAAGGGCACATTTTCATTAGACAAACAAAAAAACATGATAAAAAAGGTTGCATAGTCTGAGCATAAAAAAGTGATAATGCAATAGTCTTTTAAAATCCAAGGCAGAGACTAATAAAATCAAAAGCAAAAGAAAAGTTGGGCTGTTTCCTTATTGAGTACTTCGATGGCATTGGTGAAATGCCATGCAAACAAATTCATTTTATAAAACATCGAAAGACATAGTAGCATTCAAGTTTTTTGATTTTTGTTTCCTACCCTAACAAAACTGTTACTTTTGTTTCTTTAAATAAATAAATAAAGCTGGAAAAATCTGTAGCCAATTGCCAACCTGTTATCTAGAATAGATAAATAACAAATGCAGATAAACTAACCTTGAAGGGCTCATTGTCGGTTCTAAATTCTATCCAGGACATGTATTTTAGCCAAACGGGAAATCCTCTGTGCCAAACAAAAGATAAATTAACTTAATAAACTTCAATTGCAATATCATTTGGAGAATAAGGAAACCTTTAGTGCACATAGGATACAGTTAAATGATACTATGGGGGTGTTTGGAACTGATTCTGCAGAACAGAATCAGAATCAGATTTCACCCCCAGCTTCTAAAAAAACTTATTCTATGAGTAAATTTGAGTACCAGAATCACTTCTGCACTTTCACCCAAACAATCCAGCTTCTGCTCCCTGAAGGAGCAGAAACAGTTTTAAGAATCAGATCCAAACGCCCTCTATGTATTAAATAATCATTTAGTGAATAAGGAAAACCTTAGTGCACATAGGATACCCTTTACATGCTATTGTTTAAAAATCCTATATAAACATATTACATACTTCGTATTACCTATTACTATGAGGGCATAATCCGTCTTTTGAATTGTTGACGTCTTCTAATAAATTTCAATCCTAGAAATTCAAAGTGATGCAAATGAGCAGTTGATGATATCATTCGACCAAATTTCTTCTCCTTGGCTGGTCCAGGTGAACTTCCAGTCTGATCACCAGTAATTACCACATGAACATTCACCATCTCTGAAATGATGAAACCTCTTTCCATCTCTCACTATAATCTCTCTTGCCTCCAAGTTTGAAATTAATTTGAACGCATTGTGGCAGTCCCCACATATACGAAGGTTCTTGAATACCCTAATTGTGGCACCACGAGGTAGCTTCAAAAGACCAAATATAACTGCAAGTTTTTCACTATGAGTTGACAGGGCATGCTCCTTTTGTTCAATCTCCATATCATGCAGCACATACTTCGTATCAGGAATATATCCTGCTTTCCTCATCTTTATTGTTAATTCCTTCAAGTACATGTAAACTGCCTGAATCTCAGGATGCTTAGTATCATCCACCAAAAATACATGGACCTTGTTTTCAACTTCAATCCAACTACAGGCAGGCTCCTTCTTGACCCCTCGTTCCCTCATTAGTTTTCTCACATTGGCAGCATCGTTCCATCTGTTTGCAGAAGCAAACGTGTTAGCCATAAGTATGTAGGTTCCATCATGTTGTGGAACCAAGCCGAATAGTTGATCTGCAGCTTGCACTGCCAGCTCAATATTTCCATGAAGTCGGCAACCAGAAAGAAGAGCTTCCCAAATAGGTGCCCCAGGTTTATAAGGCATACTCTGGATTACATTTGTTGCTTCTGAGAACCTTCCGGCTCGAGCCAACAAATCAATAAAGCGAGCATAGTGATCTTCTCCTGGGCTAATGCCATACTTGGTATGCATTAAATTAAAATAATGGTGTCCTTCTTTAACTAACCCTGCGTGGCTACAAGCAGATAAAACTGTTAGAAAGCTTATGCGGTCAGGAGTTATATTCTCTTCCAACATCTCTTCAAAAAGTTCTATTGCAAGAGCACCGTGACCATGCTGCCCCAAGGCTGCAATTATAGCATTCCAAGATACTGAATCAACGCATGGCATCCTATGAAACAGAGACAGTGCAGCCTCAATGGCTCCACACCGTCCATAGAACGTAACGAGTGCATTTCCAGCAGAGAGGCTTGAATCAAATCCGCGACGAATAATCTGAGCATGGACCTGGCGTCCTGTTTCTAATGCAGCAAGAACTGCACAAGATGTAATGGCTCCTGCAAAAGCATAGTCGCATGGGTCAAACCCATTTAGTTTCATTTGGTTAAATAGCTTCAAACCTTCTTCCCCAAGCCCATTTTGTGAACATCCAGATATCATCACTGTCCAAGTTAAGGAGTTCTTCTCTGGCATCTCGGAAAAAAACAGCTTAGCTTCGTTAACTAACCCTGCACTCACGTAGGCGGACAAAATTGTGTTCCATGAGATCAGGTCTTTTGTGATCATTGAATCAAATATTTTCCTAGCACCATCAACTCTACTGCATTTCCAATATAATGTAATCAAAGAATTGTTTACTGACACTTGGAAATGATCTTTAGCTTCTGTTTCCATCTTTATGATGTAAGCATGTACCTGCTTTCCATGGAGAAATAATCTAGCATCAGCACATGCACTGAGAACATTAGAATATGTAAATTCATCCTGTTGAATTCCTAGCAAGTACATTTGTCTATAAAGTTCTAATGCTTCAGAGACAAAACCCTTATGAACATACCCAGAAATCATTGCATTCCATGCCACGAGTATCTTCTCAACCATCCCATCAAACACTTTCCGTGCAGCATCAACATTATCATTCCTTATAAGACCCACAATGATAGTAGTCCAAGACAATTCATCCCTCTTGGGAAGCTCATCAAATAGCTTCTTAGCTGAGTCCATTAACAGCAACGAAGATGCAAATGGAGAAGATGCGCATCTCACATACAGTGACATAAGTGCATTCACCACAGATGTAACTTTTCCAGTCCCAGACTTGATAACAGCACAATGTAACTGGTGGCAATGCAATTCACAATCAGCTATATGTGCCGAAGCGGCAAGCATACTTGTGTATGTGTACTGGTCAGGCAAAAAGTTCTTTCTTTTCATGTCATTAAACAGTTTTATGGCAGCATGGCCGTCATTGTGATGTGAGTAGCATGTGATCATGGAATTATATATAACAGTGTCACGCATGATTAGAGGGGCTTTATGGAAAATGTCTGAAGCAAGCGCAGGATCACCGGATGCAGAATAGGCAGCAATCATGGTCGTTCTTGCAATGACATCTGGTTGTGGAATTTTATCGAACAGTTGTCTTGCGTAAGTGAGGTTTGAGGACTTACCATACACATCGATCAGGCGGTTCAGGATGTGACCCCGGGGCTTGAATCCAGAGGTGATCATGTTGGCGTGGATAATTCTGACAAGGTAAGATGTAGCATGTCTGTGTATGTTAGAGGAACATAGTTGAAGGTTCGCCGCATAACGGTTGGCGATTTTACTAATGTCCAGTTGGCAAATATGTATTTCCCGAGTCAAGGATTCAACACATTTTGTGGCGAATGCATTGTTCATCGTAGATGTTCTTGGATAATTGCAGAACAAATGCATCAGGTTAGAAAGGTACTCTTACATGAAGGCATGAAACAATATTTTGAACATGAATGTCAAGGGCGCATTTGAATGATGCTCTGATTCCTCTCACATACTTTTGCAAATTAGAAAAACAGTATAAAGTTCATGAAAAATAGGACTATCATTCACTCCTATTTGGAAAGTTGTTAATCACTTTATTATGAAATAATTACATATCTATTGTTTTATATAGTAAAGATGAGTTATAAAAAGCTGATGTGTCATCTTCTAATTGGTTAAATAATACAATATTTAATATCACTTTTAGCACAACTAATTAAATTAAAACTTCGTAATTGCTTTAAATTGCGGAAAACTAGCAACTGATTCTTTATAATTTGTTTACAGCGGAACATCAATTGTTTTGGATTCCACATGATATCAATTATCAACTACTTACAAGGGTAAATTGCACCAAATCCCCTCATGTAATATAAAACATGCATATAATCCCTTTGTGTTTTTGAAAAAACATCAAACTCCCTTCAGTTTTGATAAATCTTGTTCACCCTCCCCATATGCAGAAAAAATTCAACGGTTGATTCTATTTTGTAAATTTCCGTTTATACCCCTTTTAACTATGACACTACTACACCACCGGCTATGCCATGGATTAAAACCCACTCACACCATTCAACCAACCAAAAATTAAAGTCATCGTGAGCAAGAATAATAACATAGGCTAGGGTAGCAAATAATCTTTTTAATTTTCCCATTCTTTTAGTCATTCTTCAACTTCATAGGTTGCTTCAGATGTTTTCTTTTGGACTGTTTTCAGTCTCATACCATACCTGATCAGATTAGATCAGACCAGACCAGACTTCCGTAGTTATAAAATGTACAGAGATAAGACATTTACCAGACTAGTCTAGACCCGTTCAGACCAGACTAGACCGGACCAGACTAGCAAATCACAGTCCAAAAGAAAACATCCTTAATCTATGTGAGGGAAATTAAAATAAGAGTAACTTGCTACTAATTCTAATATCCTGGTAACTTACAAGTACATGTGTGATTTTGTGCAAATATTAAATCTTATAAATTCAGCACAGCTACATATGTGTGATGCTAATTTTGTGTGTCGTTTCTAGTTTATTTATCTGATTTGAGTTGTATTTGTGGTTGATTTACGAAGTTTTGCTTGTAGTTATAATTTAGGGTTATATTTGGATGTTATTTGTGTTTTACTTTAAACAACTTTGATGTCATTAGGAATAGTTCTATATAGTCCAAAGTTAGATTATATTGGTTGATACTTATAGGTTTAATTACTAAATTTTTATTAGTATATTTCAGCTCATGTTTTTTATTTGTGATTTTTGAAGTGAAATTGATGCTATGTACTCAAACTTGAGATTCACTAGACAAAAAATTGAGAATCACTAGACAAAAAATTGAGAATCACTAGACAAAAAAACTTGATTCACTAGTTCTGTATATTAGTGCAGGTTAAACTAAATTTAGATCCACTAGTTATGTTTTTACTGATTTCTAATAAAGTTGATATTCACTAGGAAAAAACTTATTGGTTTACTAACTCTCACTTAATTTAAAAAAAAAAAAACTTATTGTGATGTAATCTGAACTTTGAAAAATGAAAAGTAATAGCATCTGGAATGTCATGTTTGCTTGAAAACGGTAATATTGTCTCTGCTCTAACAGTTTAACCTGTTTTAAAACGTTATACATAATCAACCTATTTTATTTGTTGATTCTTAAAATTGGTCAATACCGAAACAAATAATTGTGTAAAGGAACAACATGTAATTATGATGAATTTACCACAGTCCGTTAATTGGAGTAATTATTTGATCTTCAATAAAATCTAATATTGTACTTAATTTTGGATTTGCATCCTAATTTTTTTATGCTCTTTCACACATTACATAGATTGAAATAATATTAATCTGAAGTGTAAGAAGACGCAAACAAAAAACAAGAGCTATCCATTTCATGCAAAAGGGTAAAATTGTCATTTACTTAGCTCAAAAAGCTGAAATTAAATAAAAAAATCACACCAAATAGCAAGTGTATGACACGCACACTAGACTCACCATTTCAAGGGATTTTATGCAAGATTTTACAAAACATAAATGGGTTTTGTGTATTTTTAAAAACACAAGGGGATGATGTGCATGATTTATATAACATGGGGGTGTTTGGTGCATTTTACCCCTACTTACAAATTACAATATTTAATTCGGAGTAAGAGATTTTTAAAGGGGTCCTATTAATCAGTTAATTGCTTACATATACTAGAGTAAAATTGTAGTCAACCACGTGTAGTACAACTCCTATTATAGTCCCACCAAGATAAAGTCCCGTGTTTTTTTAAAATGCTATACTCCCTCCGTCTCCTTTTAAATGTTCCGTTTTATCATATTGGGATGTCCCTATTTAATTGTCCCATACCGTAAAGTTTGTGTGGCTCAAAATCATTCTTACTTTATTCTTACTTTATCAATTAATATCAATCACACAAATCCACTTTTCTTAAAACTCGTGTCACCCTCTTCCGGGACATTTAAAAGGGGACGGAGGGAGTAACTTCTTAATTTGTACTCTGATCTGATTATTATAAAAAATCTCAAAATTCAAAACTTTTTATTATCTTTCAAATGACATCAATATTGAATATACAAAAATAAAAAAAAATAATTTAACACTTTAAAAAACATATGTTTTTAAAGTGATATAACTTTTTATTTGTACTCAAATTATTACAAAAAAAATATATCAAAAATCATAACTTTTAATTATCTTTCATATGACACCAATATTGAATATATAAAGATAAAAAATATTTTAACCTGGCTCTTTAAGTGTTGGTTCTCTTAACTAGGATTTACCCCAGCAGTATTTTGGGAAATATTGATCCGAATTTGATAAGAAATTTATATAGCATTATTTTGGGAAAACTTATATATATATATATATATATATATATATAATTATAATGCTTTTAATTAGACTGGTATCAATCTTATACTACGTATCAAAACAAAACACATCAAGCCAGATTCGACAGGTGCAAAGTACACATAGAACAAACATATGTCAGATCAGTTCAGATCAAACCAGACCAGACCAGATAGATCAAACTTGAAGATTGAATCGAGTTGACATGTGAAAACATACTTTCTCTCAAAACATAGATTAACACAACTCTACTCAAATACGACATCACTAGACTCCTGCTTATACAAAATTTTACTCAAACACAAATTAACACAATTTTACTTAGGGTGTGTTTGGGAGTTGGATTTTGGAGGGGAGGAGAAGGTTGATGAGGGTTTATGACCCTCTATCTCGTGTTTGGAAATTATAAAATTGGAGGGGATGGTTTTGGAGGGCTTTTGTGACCCTCCAAAATCCTCTAAATGCTCAATTTTTTATCTGAGTTCCTCACTCTCCCCTCCATTTCCCCTCCAACAACATACCTCCAAAGCATTCCCCTCCCCATCCCTCCAAACTCCCAAACATACTCTTAAGCATTATATGTAATTTGAATTTCACATTCTACAACTAAACATTCATTGATATATAGTCAATATGCAAATATGTGATATCACTTTTACACACAAAAAAAAATCCTACGGAATTGATAATCATGTACCTAAATTATATGGACTAATAGGATATATGTTGTGGGGTAATTATTATGCATTTCTTTTTTTTTTTTACAAATCTGGATTTAACAAAGGGTTCTAACAAATCAAAGTTCTCACACATCTATATTTATGTCATAGAGCAAATAGACTACATGCATTAGAAAGCTAGGTTTAAAATTTGTGGGTGGAGGAGGAGTGCATGCAATATAACAACAAATGTTGTGTACTAAAAGCATTAATTTAGTTTATAGCTTATGAACGGTACGTAATACTTAACACAATCGTTTTTTTCATTTATTTTAAAAACTACAATGAATCATAGTCATATTAATGCTTTTGAATCGGTCATTCTCATATCTTAACATAATATTAACACACATAATCTTCTTCACTAATACTCCGTATTATATACTACGAATTTTCATGATTGTGTGAATATTGTTAACCTCTATTGATAATTATGATTTTAATGCTATCAAAATGACACTACCGGGCAGAGGCAGGGCACTAACTGGACTGAACCGGTACAGATACTTTGAAAAAAAATACTCGAAACTGTGGACCTCAAAATTTAAGGTATTTTAAAATTTTGGGCCAGGTCGGGGATCTAAATTGTGCCAATTGGTCCCTAGCTCCGCCCTTGCTACCGGGGCATGCCCCGGGTGTTACACTAGTTTATGATTAAAGTAAAGATTATTTGCAAAAAAGTGACTAGTTACTAAAGTAGTGCTAGAATCATAGTAACTTATGTTCAACTTTTAAACTTAAGTTACCATGACACTACATTGTAGTAACTATTAGTCATATTTGTGCAAATAAGTTTTATTTTAGTGATATTTTTGAAGGAAAAAAAAACTCATTTATATTTGATGCACACACATGTATATTAGGTAGTTGATTTTGTATATGTATAAACAAATACGAAGTATATTTGATTATTCTTTGACTTGAATACATAATTATTTGTATTCGTATTTGAAAGAGATTTGAACCAAAAAGTTGATTTGTATTTGTATTTATATTATATATTTTCAAATTTGAATCATAATTTTTGAATCCAAATCACGAATCGAATGAAAATTATTTGCTCCATTTACAACCCTTACTCCGTATGATACTTTTGATTTATTACAAAGAGGCTTGAAATTTGTATACGCAAATGTATATATGGGATACACTTTGCGGGTATAGCAATCTTTTAATAATTATTATAGTTTTATCACTATTATTAATATTATCACTATTATTTATTGAATATATTTGATTAACATTCGAATCGAATACACTGATATTCTTATTTGTATTTGATAACAATTCGAATGAAATTTAGTATTTGTATTTGAATTTGAATTTTTCGAATTCGAATAGCCTTATATGAATTCGAATCGCGAATCGAGCAAATAATATGGAGTAATAAATTACTAATACTGCCCCGACTATAAGATTCATATCATTAGAATG